TCTTCTCTTTTTCTTCTTCCTGAGATGGAGTCTCACTAAGTTGCTGAGGCTGACCTCAAACTTGAGATCCTCCTGCCTCAGCCTCCCAAGTGGCTGGATTACAGGAATGTGCCACTGCACGGGGCTTTTTTACTGGATCTTGTTTTTGTTTTGTTTTGCTTTTTTTCTCAGTAGGAAGGCAACAAGGAACAGTCCCACAGTCTGATGAGCTGCTATGCCTCCTGTTCACTCCAGGCTTCATCGCTGAACTTTATCTTGAATTTTTACTTACTATCTAGACCACTCCACCACTTGGGCTTGGGCTCAGGGTAATGGAGATCCTATTTTCTTTATTATTGCTGCATTTGCAGAGACTGGCCACTTGGGAGGTGCTCAGTAAGGAGTTGCAGGACAGAGGATACCATTAAGTAGCAGACCAGCATCAGGGAGACTCAGTCAATGGCAGTGACCCTGGGCAGTGATGACTAGTGGCCTGGACACTGGTAGCTGAAATGGAGAGGAGGAGAGCACTGAGAAAGACCAGAGGTAAAACTGAAGTTGGTTGATGGGTGAGTTAACCTTCCAGTGACTTCTTACCTCTCCTAAGACAAAAACCACATTTTCACCATGGCCCTGGAGCCCTAGCGATCCGTCCCAGAAACTCTCTGACACCACGGGCTTCTTTCTTTATCCACCTCCCCATGCTGCTAGCTCATAAGCGTGGAGAAGCCAGGTCTCTCTGACCTCCAGGCACTTTAGGACCCAAGGGGCTGCTGCCAAATGGACACCCTGCAATCACTCAGATGAAGGCCCAGCAGGGAGGCGTGGCCACCCACAGGCCCCGCCCACTTAGACACCCGTGCTGCCCCCAGTTCCTGGACTCTCACAGAGGAAGTTGCAGCCCTGTGCCAAGGTACCCCCAACCTTGTTCCCCAAATCCTCAGGCATGATGGCCTCCAGCTGTCAGCCTGCCCCCGGCTGGCGGGCGCCAGCTCCTGGCAGAGGGGCTGATGTGTAATTAAAAGCCCCACAAACCCCCTAATTGCCAGTTCTTGCAAACCAGGAGGCCGGGGCTATTCTGAGCTGCCTTTGTTGCCGGCTGCCTGAGGCATGTGGAGAGGAAAAGGCCGAGAGCAGAGCCAGGCTGGCATGGAGGTGGCCCTGGAGAGGACTGGCATTTGGCCAGAGACCAAACGTGGCACAGAGAGGGCTCACTGCAGTCTGCTCTGTGGCCGCCTCCCTGCCTCCCCTCTGCCCCCACTTGCTCTTGGCCTTACGGCCCTACTCAGAACAGTGACATCCAAACAGCCCAGCCCATTCATTCTTTATTCAGGTGGCATAAAAATCACTACAAAAACTTTACAAAATTGCCTGAGAGAGCTAATGAAACCCTTCCCTGCCTCAGCTCCTGAGCTCCCGGCTGAGGAGGAAGACAGGAGAGAGGAAGGAAGGGGAATCCTGGCAGTGTTGGCATCTCTAAGGATGAGGGTGTGTGGACAGGAGACGGGGAGTGTGCAGGACATCTGGGGTAGGCTGGAGGCTGGTAGGCCTTTAGCAGGTTACATCAGAGGTAATGTCAACCTTGATCTATGGATACAAGAAGGATACAAGGTCCTATGAGAGACAGAGGTGGAACCCAGGGCAATGCTCTGCCTTCTGAGCTACCACCAGGGCCTCTCTTCTCCCCAGCCAGAGAGTTCAGGGATAAGGCCAAAGACAGTCCTCCCTCCAGTGTCCTGGCTGATTTAGGGACTAACCTAGTTTGCTTCCTGACAAAACCAGATCCACCACTGTCCTACTACCCTAGCCCTCAAAAGGACAACTTCTGAGCTTCTTTGGAAGAAATGAAGAGGGATCCAGCCCAACATTCCCTAATGCCTGCCGGCTTCCCGGCCCCAGCCCATTCCCCAGACTCCCCAGGAAGAGCTGGGAGAGAATGGCTCCTCCCCTTTCCCAGAAGGCCCACCCAGTCCGCCCCCCACCCCCCATCCCACAAAGCTGGTTGGAAAGAGTCACACAAGTTGAGAGGCTGGTCCGGGTGGGGACTCAGGATGCTGGTGACCAGGGCCCTCACTTGGGGCTGTTAAACTCAGAGTAATCCTCCTCGGAGGGTGGCATGAGTTTCAAGTCAGGGCCAAAGGGCTTATCTCTGTGGAGGAAAGCTTTCTGGTCCTGGAAGGAGTCCCTGCTGTCAGGGGAATCCTGCTGCTCCTGGAGCTCAGGCTGTGCGCCAGGGTTGGGGTTCCTCACACTGCCCACAAAGAGGGGCAGGCCTGTGGTGTCCTCCAGGATGAAGAAGAGGAAGGGGCGGTTCACGCTGAAGGAGGAGAGGGACATGCGGGACATGGCCGTGCTGGTGGCTGCAGCTGCCTCCACACCAGCCTCACTGAGCTCCAGCGTGGACTGATGCTGCACACTGGATACCACCAGCCTCTCGTCTGAGATCCCACGCAGGTCTGGGGACTGGAACAGCTCCTGCAGGCCTGTGCAGGGCAGCAGACAGCTGGTCAGGATCACCCTCTCTCCCCCAGGCTGCCTGGGCCTGTCTAGCACCTTGGCCAGGGAACACCTTGAATCCACAGATTGCTACTTAACTCCTGTTTAACCTTCAAGTCTTAGCTTAAATATCACTTCCTCTAGGAAGTCTTCCCTGATCCCCAGCCCCAAAATCTAGAGTGGGTACCTGCTCAGTATTCCCCTGGGTGAGCCGGAGAAAAGCCCTGTGTCTTTATCACTTATGATGAACTATAAATTCCTGAATCCCTGGGTGCCCACCCCATTAGACTGAGCATTCTTTATAGTGTGGGTTCTCAGTGCAGTACCTGGAATCTAGAAGTTGCTTAGCATATGGCTGATAGGTAGATGCACCCCAGCTTCTCCAACCCCTTCCAGGAGAGTCAGCAAGGCTCACGTGCTGCCCTGAGCTGTCTATTAGGAGTCTTTGCAGTGCTCTCTCTTGGGCAGCACTGTAGCTCCTCATACCCTGGGTTGCCCCAGCTCACCCCAGGACAGAAGGACAAAGGACTCATATAATACACTCTCACCCTCCCCCAACCTCTAGAAAACATCAGGATTCAGAGCCAGCTCTGAGTCAGTCTTCTCCTTGCCCAGCCCCACGCCAAGCCTCCTTACCCAGCTGGCTGAGTGTGGTCACCAAGTCCAGGTGGTGTTTCAGATGCAGTTTAGGCAGCCGCACCTTGGTGGGCCTCTCCCGCAGCAAGGGCTGGTGCAGAGTGTCCCAGCTCAGGTTGGCCAGTATCCGGGACACGTTCCACTCAAAGTGGGTAGGCACCATCACCACAAAGCTCATGTTGTTCTTAAAAGGGAAATGAGCCACCTACAAAGAGGAAGGAGAGACCATGAGGATCAGAAAGCATCCAAACCTACCTGGAGTCTGGTCCAGAATGCACTTTTTGAGACAGACAGACTGGGGTTCAAGTCTATCCTGATCAAGCCTTTACCTCCTCACCTGGTGAGGTGGAGCAACATCTCCTGCCCCACTGCAAGCTGACATGAGACGGGACAAGATAATGCTTTTATTCTAGCAGTGTCTGGACTCAGGCTGTGCTCAATAAATAAAGGCTATCTCACTGGGTGCAGTGGCCCATGACTAATTCCAGTGACTTGGGAGGCTGAAGCAAGAGGATCACAAGTTTGAGGCTGGCCTTAGCAAGTTAGTGAGGCCCTAACTTAGTAAGAAACTGTCCAAAGACTTTTTTTAAATTAAAAAAGGGCTGGGGATGCTGTAGCTCAATGGTAAAGCTCTTCTGGTGTTAACCCTAGTACTAGAAAT